AATGGTAGTTTTTAAAATTTAACTTTGGAATCCAAAATAGTCATTCTATTGCTTATTGGAACTATTGTTAGTCCACTAACTAAAGCCAGAAGTTGTGGGTCAGAAGACCAACAGAAGCAGGGTGTCTCCTGTGCACTTAACACTGGGAGCTCAGTTCTCCATGCTATCGAGCCATTCTGAATCACTTAAGTAAACATTCATTCAAACAAACATTGAGACCTCACTGAATTGTCTGCTCATGAATCAAGCAGCTGCCACTGAGCCACAGGGCCCCAGCTGAGTCTCAGGCCCACCGGGAGCTGTAGTGCTGTCAGCACTTAGAGTTTCCTCTGGCAGAAGCATCCACGTGAAAGTCAAGCCTCCCCCTCTGCTCAGACACTTATATAAGCAAAGGCCCGCCAGTCATTTCCTAATTGGTGCTGAGACCTATTTCATCTTTTGTCCTATTTCTCTGCTGTTCTGGCTGTGGGGAAAATTTTGGTCATTTCTCAAAAATAAGCCAGTAGTTTCTAAGGAATATTTCAACATTGTTACATAATAATAAAAAAAATTCCAGGGGCTGGGAAGGTGGCTTAGTGGTAGAGTGCTTGCCTAGCACGCATGAAGTCCTAGGTTCGATTCCTCAGTACCACATACACAGAAAAAGTCAGAAGTGGCAGTGCTGTGATTCAAGTGGTAGAGTGCTAGCCTTGAGCAAAAGAAGCTCAAGGACAGTGCCCAGGATCTGAGTTCAAGACTCAGGACTGCCAAAAAAAAAAAAAAAATTCCATTAGTAAAGGACATGGCAAGTTGAAAATCAGTTCTACTGCCCTCTCTATTGTATGTAGTTAGAAGCTTTCACTGGAGATAGAAAAAAAGCTTTGGGATTTTGTGTGTTTATAGATGTTAGCAAAATGGACTGACAATATGTTATAAGTCAGGAACTATAGACACTACACATAGAAAAGGTAGGAAATAGGCTGGGAAGTGGTTGAGCACTTGTCAGGCATGGGTTCCATTTACCCCACATTGAAAAAAAAAAGGAAGAAAAAGAAATGATTTTTCCCTCTTTCAAATATATATATATATATTTTTTTGGTCTGGTCGTGGGGCCTGAACTCTGGGTCTGGGCACTGTCCCTCAGCTCTTCAGCTCAAGGCTAGCGCTCTACCACTTGAGCCACAGCGCCACTTCCGGCTTTTTTCTTATGTGGTGCTGAGGAATTGAACCCAGGGCCTCAGGCATGCAAAGCAAGCGCTCTACCACTGAGCCACCTTCCCAGCCCCTCAAATATTTTTGAGGAGAGGGGAAGTAGGTAGTGCTGGCATTTCACCGAAGGCCACTTGCTTGCTTAAACAAAGCCTGCAGCCCTTTTGGTGGTGTTTTCCAAATAAGGTCTTGTATTTTTGTCTGCAGGTAGCCTGGACTGTGGTCCTTCCACTTACTCCTCCTGTCTAACTGGAATGACAGGCATGTACTACCATGCCTGGCTTATTTATTGATATAGGGGTCTTAGTAACTTTTGCCTGGGCTGGCCTCAAATCATAATCCTCTTGATTTTTGCCTCTTGAGTAGCTGGGATTAAGCTGTGAGCCAGCATGCCCAGCCTACTCTCAGATTTTCTGATGGGGAGAGTCAACATGACAATGAAAACACCAGTCTGAACGATGTTCTATGGTGGAAAGAGGAGGAATAAATGTGGGCAGATATGGAGAAGGATGACTTTTAGGGAAAAAACACTTGAGCTGTGTTTTTAAGACATAGCATGGAGGTAGGGACAAGAAACAAATTCCAGCCTGAGGAGCAAATCAAACAAGCACAAGGAGCAGGTAAAGCTCTGTGATGTGTTATATTGAGGAGATACTGGCTGACTGATTCAAGTTTGGGTTTGGGGATGTTTGGAAATTAGGCTGGAATTGCACAGAAACCAGATTCTGTGGTTTAAATTCCATCCTGAAACTCTGGGGCTCAGTTTTCACAGGAAGTAAACTACTGTTGTTCAAATTCTCAAGACAGGAAGTACTATAATCAAATCTACGGTTTAGGCATAGTAGGAAAAGGAGACAAAGAGGGAGAAAGAGAATGTCAGCCAGATGACTGCAGTGAACACAAAGATTGCCTGCATTGGAGAGGTGAGGTGAAGAGAGAGCCACAAAGGACTCATTGAGACTTGGCAGGCACCTGAATGTGGAAGGAAGAGGAGAAGCAAGTGTGGAAAGTGACTTCCATATGTGTCTTCTGGGGGTTCAGGTATATGGTTATATCAAAAGAATCACAGGTAACCAGTGGAAGGGATAGACAAGGGAAGATGACTTGAGGAGCATAATCATAATATAAATAGCTAACACAAATTTTTAAATTAAAAGTTAGACACTTTTTATGCTCTGTAAGTATTAACTCATTTAATACTTATTAAGAGTAAGTATGAGCTGGGCTCACACCTGTAATCTGCTGATCAGGAGGCTGAAATTTTATGATTGAATTTCTAAAGCCAGCCTGATCAGGAAAATGAAATTCTTATCTCTTATTTACCAGCAAAAAAAGTTAGAAGTAGAACTGAAGCTCACATGTGCCAGCCTTAACTAAAAAAGCTAAGGACATTGTCTGGGCCCTGAGTTCAAACTCCCCCAGTACCAGCAGACACATATATACATATATACATACATAAGTGTACATGTGAGTATTTATGTATATATACACAGAGTATGATTCAGGAACTGGTGGCTCATGCCTGTAATTGTAGCTACTTAGGAGGCTGAGATCTGAGGATTGTAGTTTGAAGTTCATGAGACTCTTATTTCCAATAAACTACCAAAAAAGCCAGAATTGGAGCTGTGCTCAAGTGGTGCTATCCTTGAGCAAAAGCAGCTTAGGAATAACATGAAGATCCTGAGTTCAAGCCCTAGGACCAGCACACACAAAAAAGTATGTAGACACTATGTTGAAAATGAAATATATAACTTATGAAATATATGAAATATATATGAATAATTCAGTTATATATGAAATATATAACTGAATTATGTAAGTGTAACCATTCTGGAATCACCTTTACAATAAAAATAATAAAAGTTGTATAAATTATAAATATATATAAAGTTACAAATATTTAAATATATAAACATGTTGTACTATATAAATATATTTATGTATATAATGCATATTTACATTTATATGTTTATAATTTATATTGTATATCACTCATATTTATATATTATATAAATATTAATATATGTATATGAATACATAAATGCATAAATTTTTATATAAATAGAAGTAAATATATTATTAATTTATATGCTATAACTATTAATTTATAATTTTAATAAATACGTTTAGAATGTAACAAACTTAAGTTCCAGCTTCCCTGAATTTTGCTGTTTGGTCTTAGAAATGTAAAAAGTGGAAAATAATTCCTATGATATGGGATTGTGAAGCAGATGAGAAGTAGTACATTAAAAACCAGCACAGTGTCTGGATCCTCATATGTCTTAACAAAGGCTTGAAATTCTTATCACACACACACACCCCACACACTCACACCCATACACTCATACCCACACACACTCACACACATGCACACACTCACACACAGGACACACACACACACTCAGTGGGCAAGAGAGAGGAAGGGGGAGGATGTTGGAAGCCCAAAGGAAATGGATGAATACATGTTTGTCCATTATCACAAATACCTCAGGGAAGTTAGAGAGAAAGTCTGAAGAGAAAGAATTCGATCCAGCAGACAAGAAAGGAGGTTGCTGCTACGGCAGGAACTATCACAAGTAATGGCAACACACAGTGAAACACAGCACATGGACATAGACAACAGAACCACAGGCAAAATTTTTCTTTTAAATAAAGTCTCCATGGGTTTACTTGTAGATTTATAGACATATTCTAATTATTACAAATGAGGGAAACCATGTAGCCTATGTGTCTTTAGGTCTGGCTTACTTTACTTCATATAATTTTTTTCCAACTCTGAGGAGCCTCGTTAGCACAGTAGGTAGTGCGTCAGTCTCAATTTTTTTCCAACTCTTTCCATTTCTTTACAAATGGGGGAATGTCATTCTTTCTGATGGAAGCATAAAATTCCATTGTGGATATATACCACATTTTCTTGATCCATTTATCCACTGGGGGGCATCTGGTTAGATTCTATATCTTATCTATGGTAAATATAATGCTGCAATGAACATGGTCAAGAAGCCCTAAGAGGTACTCTCAAACCTTGCTTCCCAAACAAAATGGCAAATCCTTACCTTACATTCCTATTTCTGTCTGTTCCCTAGAGTTGCTCTTTATGTTGTGAAGGCAAAGGTGGAGTTAATATTCTAATTTAAAGTTTGGGGAATGTTGCCAAGGATCTCACTGGGGAAAGAAGATGGATTTTCTTTCTTCTAAAATGTCCAAAGCTAGTGCTATTTTTTTTTTTCTTCTGAATGTCTGTGAGACCTTGAAATCAACAGACTATGTCTTTGAGAACTACAGGTCATAGTCTTTTTTTTTTGGGGGGGGGGTGTCTGGTCCTGGGGCCTGAACTCTGGGCCTGGGTGCTGTCCCTCAGCTCTTCAGCTCAAGGCTAGCGCTCTACCACTTGAGCCACAGCACCACTTCTGGCTTTTTTTTCTTTTTGCTTATGTGGTGCTGAGGAATTGAACCCAGGGCCTCATGCATGCAAGGCAAGCACTCTAGCATTGAGCCACCTTCCCGGCCCCTCAGGTCAGTCTTAATATGCCACCTTCCCCTTCTAGAATCTTCTACACTGGTGAGAAGTCTCCAACTTAAGTGTCAATGGGGAAGGTAGGTACTTCTTGGTATTTCCAGCAGTTGAACAGCCATTTGTAGGGACTGAGGAAAAACCTTCCAGAACCTTCTCAGGATACCAGGTCTTCATCTCTCACAAACCATGTGGCCAGAAGCCACCTCAATTCATAGGAGAAACAGGAAAATCTCATGTATGAGAAAATGACCTTGTTTCTATACTCTTCCTGTTTTTTTTTTTTTTGTTCTTTCAGGCAACCAAGGCCTTCTGTCCTAGATGCTGAAGGAAGAAAGAGTCGTGGTTTTCTTGCTTGGCACATAGGTGATTATGAGAACACCACTCAGAGAAACTCCAGCCGGGCCCAACTTTTGAAGCAGAGTAAGTCACCATCACTGAGAGTGTCCCAGGCATCAACACTGCCAAAGGTACCAACAAAGAGAAAGGTATGATCTATTGCTTTTTTGAATCACCATAGGCAGAAAAAAATCAAGCTGTATTAATATACAAACTAGAAAGTGCCACTTAACAGTAATACTGTTCACCAGTTTGCAACATCTTTTAACCTGTGAAACCAAATTGAAGTCTGTATTTGAGTCCACGCAAGATGTCCATCAAGCTAGGGTGCTGTTACCCCTTTTTGTAGCAAATGAACACGAGGTTGTGAAGTTGCCATGAGCATGTCCTTGGTTAAGTTGCAATTTGTGTGTGTGTGTGTGTGTGTGTGTGTGAAGTAGGATGAGGGATATTGGTTACTGTTCTTAACGTTTTGTTGGAGAACTAAGTAAAGCATGTGTAAGCATGCAGTCAGCATTGGTCTCCTGAGGTTCATTCACCGTCTTGGCATAATCCCACAGCACAATGACCTTTGCAGTCATCAGTGTTTTCCAAGGTGTTTTAATACTGAGTTTGTATGAGACAGGAAGAAATAGAATAGCCCAGGTCCACCAAGTCTCCATGCTCTACCAAGAGTCTGAACAGTACTTACCCTTCGTCACCAGAAACCTCCTGGTCCTGCCATCATCTGTGTCCCCTTGACACATTTTGCGAGGGAGTTATAGGGACTTGATCCTTGGAGACTGTGCTGAAAAAGGGAGCTAGCTGCTTATATTCCTGTGGTCTGAATTCTGGGCTGGATTCCAATTGGATGGTTGATTTCCATGTGTGAAAAGTTTTGCACCACTGAACTAATTCTAACTAGGATTAGAGCTATTGTAGGTTAAATCATCCCAAATTCACTAAATTCAAATGAATGTGTTTTATTTTTCCATTTAAATAATACTTTTTATTTTAAAATGATTTAAAATTTAGAGGAAATATAAGAATAGTGCAAATATTTCCTTCTTTACTTTTGACCTAGACCTGTCCACTGTGAATTTTCTTTAATGTATATGAATGTATATATATATATATATATATATACATACATATATATATATATATATATGTATACACACACACACAATTGAGGTATACCTCTTTGGAACAAGGATGTTCTCCTACATAACCATGTTTATAATTTGAAAATTTGGAAAGTTGAGCTGACACATTTTATCTAAAACATGCAAAGAAGAATTTTACCAGCTGGATTTTGCCTATACTCCTAGCTAACCAAGAGTCTGAGATCTGAAGGAGATTAAGGTTCAAAGCCAGACTGGGCAGGAAAAGTCCGTGAGACTCTTATCGCCAATAAACAACTCAGAAAACCGGAAGTGGTGCAGTGGCTCAAGTGATAGAGCACTTGCCTTGAGCTGAAGAGCTGAGGGACAGCACCCAGACCTAGAGTTCAAGCTCTACGATCAGAAAAAAAAAAAAAAAAAATATAAACAGGCCTATTGAGCAGCTGGAGAGGAAAACATTTTATAGTGAACAATTATTTATTTAGATGTTTTCATCCATTTATTAGGTCAAAACAGTGAAATCATTTCTGTACTTTGTAAAATGTAAAAAAAAATTGAAGGATTAAGGGCTCTTGTGTGAAGATATGAATGCCTTGATGCTTGTAGAGAAAAATACATAATGAGCTTTTAGTTAAAACAAAAAAGCCAGTCTGGGCAGAAAAGTTTTCAAGGCTCTTATCTCTAAAACAAACCAAATAATCAGCAAAAACCCAGACTAGGGTGTGCCTCAAGTGGTAAAAAAAAAAAAAAAGCTCAGCAAGAAAGCTGAACAAAAGGGGTGCAGTGCTGAGTTGAAACTGGCAAAAATAAAATAAAAAATTATTGGCTTTATAATTTTCCCCAACCCAGCATTCATGATAGAATCAAATAATTTGTTATTTTTTGTTATCATGTCTCTCGAGTCTAGAAGTTTCCTAGTCTTGGTCTTTAATGCCATGTTTTTGAAAGCTATGAGTCAGCTCTACAGACCCTCTGTGTGCTCACAAGTTGTCTCAGGTTATATGCTTTGGAAACGAGTGTCAGGTATGTGTGGATTGTTTTTCCTCATGTTGAGCAAAAACGAAGCTGGGTTCCACCTATTAGTAAGGGTCATCAATCACTTGGTCACCACTCCTACAAAATACATGGAATCATGCAAAAAATTTTAAAAAATCAATCAGACTTTCTCTTAAATTTCCATACATGAATTGCAAACTTGTCCTTCAAGTCTTATTTCTGGATAACATCCCAGAGTTGTGTATGTCTAATAATTATTGACCTGCTTTTTTTTTTTTTTTGTCGGTCATGAGGCTTTGAACTCTGGGCCTGGGTGCTGTTCCTCAGCTCTTCAGCTCAAGGCGAGTGCTCTACCGCTTGAGCCACAGCACCACTTCCGGTTTTCTAGGTTTATTAGAGATAAGAGTCTCATGGACTTTCCTGTCCGGGCTGGCTTTGAACCATGATCCTCAGATCTCAACCTCCTGAGTAGCTAGGATTACAGGTGTGAGCCATCAGCACCCGGCTTGACTTGCTTTTGTATAACCCCTCTTCAGGGAAAATAACTTTAAGCAAGTGTTTCTATGCATTGAAAAGCAAATCGCAAACACAACATAAGAAAAGCTTACAACACAGAGCCTCTGGGTCGGCCACCAGTGTTGTTATTACATTTCTCACCTAAAGGCCAGCACACTTCCCATGGTAGGTTGGAAGAATCACAGCCATGTGCTGTTGAGCCATACAATCAGATGCAGCTTATGGCTCAGCAGGTCTGTGATGGGTGATTCTGTATTTCTATCCAGATTCCAGACTCTGTAGTTACTTGTTGCCCGTGGCAGACCTTAGGTATCAAATACTACAAGATGTGACAATGAACTAAATTTTGAATTAGGAAATGGGAACTAGAAGAGGAAGATCAGAAAGGACATATTTTTCAGGGCAAAGATTTCAATGTTGTAGTTTATGTGGTCTAATATAGCTGGATATTCAAGTGCAAAGGCAGTCCTGTGGCCCAAGCCTGTAATACCAGCTACTCAGGAGGTTGAGGTGGGAGAACTGATTGGATCCAGGAGATTGGGGTTGGCCTGGGCAACATAGTGGGAACTCCATCTCTTAAAAGAAAATAAAGAGGGGTTGGAAGTGTGGCTCACTTGGCACAGTGCTAGTCAATGAGTGAAAGCAGCAAGTACTGAGTTTGAGTCCTGATCTCAATAATAGAGTGCAAAGGGTATCTTGAATGATATAATCTGCTATGTCACTTGAGTACAGGACACTAAGACACCTGAAGCTTACTGGGCAGATGACAGGGTCAAATTTTCAGTTTTGAAGTATTTAGTCATCAAGATTGATGATATGTTTGATATGGAAGGGAGCATTTCAATAACTCAACTGAAAACAGAAGAATTAAAATAAGGCAAAAACAAACAAGAAACTGTGGTATATTTTAGGCAAGTCATTGCAGCCAAGCTGCAGACCTGGGAAAAACTTCAGACACTATGGAGGGGAGGAGACAAGCCTTGGATCTTGGTAAGAGGTGTGCAGGGGCAGCCAGGTGGCAGAGAGAGAGAACCAAGGCCAAGAAGTGAAGATGCTTAGCTGACAGAGGATTCAGGAACAAGACGAAGGGTCACCTTAATATGGGTGAAATTTTTATTTTTTAAAAACATGGACTGTGGTATGTAGGTATACATTTAAAACCTTGACTAGTGGCACAATTGTAAGTGTGCTTCAGAATACGGGAAAAATACTTGAAATTTTCATTTATCAGAAAGAATTTTGAAATACCTGAAACTTCTCTTTATAAGGAAAACATAATATGATAATAAACATTTTTCCCCAGAGATATCTACCAATATAGCAAGTATTTTGTGACAACCCTTTATTATCCTCAAGTAAAATCCAAATAGTAAACCTTAGATACACAATTTATGCAAAACTATATACCAGAGGGAAGGGAAAGTAGGGGAAAAACAAAGGAGGGGTAACAATGCTTGATACGAAATGTACTCATAACCTTACTCATGTAACTGTAATCCCTCTGCTGCACAGTATCTTTACAATAAAAAAATATTTTTAAAAAGCTATATAACACCTAGCTGAACTATTTTTAAAATCCCTTATTTTATTTTGTGGCAGTACTGGGCTTGAACTCAGGGCCTAGGAACTGTCCCCTAATTTTTTTTGCTCAAGGTTGGCATTCTACCATTTGAGTCACAGCTCTACTTCTAAAACTCATTCTTTAGTATGCAAAACATGGGGGTAGCAGAGTAGAAAGCTAACGAGTAGGCAGATGCCCACATCTTCACCCCACAGCCACTCCATGGAGGCAAACAAGATGTGTGGTGCATGGAGGGATCTACTTCCCCAGAGGTGGTAGTGATGAAGTACAGTTTCCAAAATCCATCAGTTCTTGGAGAAGACCAAGTGACTTGTTCTTGGTACAAGAACCAAGTCATACTGTAATAAGATAACATTAAAGTATTAACTAATTTCTCTTAATGAAAAATCTTTTGTTTTCAAATGATTATTTTATTGTAAAGATACTCTACAGAGGGGTTACAGTTACACGAGTAAGGTAATGAGTACTTACCTTATAACCCCAAGATTCTAGTTCCAAAGTAAAAACTTCCTTTAATGTGTGTAACAACTACTGAAACATGTAAAAAAAATACTTTTTGTAAAACAGAACACAGCTTAGATATTAAAGGTCTGCCCCACTGCCCCCATGAATGCCCAGTGGGACATTTAATAGCTACTGAAGCTGGCCCTGGGAATGCACCCATGGCAGAATACGTCTATCCCCTCCCACCATGTACTGATGACTATGGCCCTCAATCATCAGTGTGTGTTGAAAAAATGCCCAGTACTTCTAAAACACCACTGTTAAAACACTGGCTTATATGTACAAAGATACTGCTTTACTATGAGTTACTTTGATACACCACCTTTGATTAAATATAACAAATAAATCATATCCAACACTAGGAAAGTGTTCAAGATAATTCAAAGATTTATTGCACCAAATGCCACAGAAAAATGGACCAAAATAACTCAATTATGAACAAGATAATTTGTTCATAATAATGAACAAGAAAAAAAATCTACACATTGACACTGGATTGACATTGGTATCCATTCCATTGGTCAAAAATATTAAGTATTATTACTTTTTCTTTATGAAGTTTCAGCAACAAATCCCAGATTTTCTTTTTAAACTACAACTCAAATTTAGGCATATTAAAATCTCACCAACTTTTGACATTTAAAAATTAAAACAATGGAGCTTGCTTGATTTAACAGAAAGTATATGAAAATATCATTTCCCCAGAACATAACAAAAACAAAGTGTTCACATGAACTGAGATAGACTTTTTAAATTTAATGGTGAAAGTATGCATAAACAAAATGTTCCCCAGAGTGTTCATTAGTGAAAAATCCAGACATTTAAAAGAATTTGAGGGTCATTTTATATTTATATGTACAATCAATTCTTGCGAAGAACCTAAGAAACTACAGACTAAATTTATATAAAAATCTGAGGACCTAATCATAATAGCCTAAACAGTTTAGAATCTTTTATCAAGTGGGTAATTTCCTCCCTCCAAAAAAGTTAATTCTGAAAAATATGGTAAGTTTAAAAAATTGTATGTGTAAACGGCAGTTTCATGGGATGTGAAAAGATTTTAGTTATTTTCATTAAAAAACAGCACACTTCAGAAAAAAGGATTGCAGCCTGTACAAAAAGCTATTTAACACTGATAAAATAAAATACTTTGGAATTATGCACAAGTATGGAAGCTACATCTTAAACTTTCATTGTCATGTTTAAAACATACACAATTAGCTTTACATTCATATCACTTATCAACTTATTAAAAATAAAAACTGCAACATGCTAGAAAGAGGCCTTTTACAGGAACATTTACATACCCGCTCCATCATGCCTCACTAGCTTGCTTAAGAAAGCAAGAGCAACGAAGAAATACACTCAACAGTAAGACATAGAGTTGAATAAACCCTAAAGGTAGAATCCTGTCAACTGAGGTAGATTTCTTTCTTCATTAATTTTTTTTTTTCTTGAGAGGGGTATGGGAGGGTGGGAGCCCTTTCTCGACTCTTCAGCTGTAGCAGAAGGAAGCCACTGGGTGTTGTATGTGTGTTGGGGGATCACAGGTCCCCAGGACTTCTCTTTATCTTTGCTTTAGGGAAGAAGTTGAATTTAAGAGGAAGCTTGAAATGTTCAATATTTCAATGAAACTTAGAAAGAGCAGCAACATTATGGGTTTGTATCTGTAGGTAGCACAACAGGATTAGGCTCTGAATGGAGTCCTAAGGGATCACTGAGACAACCTCCACCCACCACCCACCTGTGATCTCCTACAATACATTTTCTGAGTGACTTTTAAAACATTAGAACAAGAAGAAAATTATAATTTTAAGGCTTGGAGGAGACTTAGCTGAGTTTTTTATGTATAGAGTTAAGAATCAACCCAAGTGAAGCTCAATTTTCCCGGGATGGAACTAATTTTCAACATGCCACTAATAGATACACGAGAATCATATTCCTTTTGTGTTATTTTCTCTGAACCCCGGGAAGATGGTGAATAAGGCAAAGTGCACACAACATGTAAACAAGGAAAAGGAGCTAGAGAGGAGGGGAATGCTTTAGGTTGGCATGGAAAAAACCTAAGACCAGCTTTGACAGCTTATTCACACACAAGGAAAAGCAAGGTTGAGCATGCTGAGCCATAAGGTGGCCAGTAGCAAACAATGATGTCATGGAGAGAGAAATGTGAAAATACCAAACTTATGTTAGGCCAAAAAGAAAGGCAATAACACTAAAAGGAATGTAAAACTTAAATTTTGTAAAAGAAAAAATAAAAAATAAAGTGAACATCAAAGATACCAAGTGCCTCAAAGCACCTATATCTATTCTCATAAAGCACAAAGAGAGGGGAAAGTAGTATTTCTGGCCTGTTCCTAAGAAAGAACACAGCATTTTTGTCAATTGGTACAGCTTCCAATTTACTTGCATTTGTACAAGAATAGACAAAGTTATGTGGTAGTGAGGATCAAGATTTTATGAAGTATGAAGTCTAAAGTCTTTCTAACTCCAAAGTAGTCCACCTTCTTAGTACAAGAGATATGTGGAAGGGAGGGAAGTTAGGGTTTAACCATGTCTTGTTTACTAGATTAGCCTCTTCCACTTAATGCAAGTCTTACTTTATCCTAGATGTCAAGATACAATCATTATCAGTCAGTAAACTAGGTTTCTTTTCTGTTAACAGAAAACTGAGTTTTTAACAGTTGAATCCTTTACTTTGGTAGGCTTTATGTGTGATGATCAAGTTGATTTCTAGAAAGATGTTTTGGAAAGGACATGAACAAGATGAAAAAAGTACACAGTTGATACTGTAAAAATTCACACTATATGCAGTTTGCTTCTTATAGTCTAACCTAGCTGCTTTTTGTTGCAGTTTCACTTCCTACTTGGACAGCTGCATCTTTTAAATTACAGTCTTAAATCAACTAATCTAGGAAGAAAGTGGCTCTGGCTGGAAGAATTTATCAACAGAAACACTTGAGCTTATAAGTAACTTTGGCAAATAGCCTTTCTTGAAAAGGCTGCAGAGAGCTCTAAGTGATAGGGTCAACACCTGGAGTCAGGCTGAGGATGCTACATTGGCTCTTGGGTTATTGCACCAGCAATCCACCTCTGACTTACCTGTAGCTGCCTCTGAGAGTAAACTCTGAGAACTCAGTGAGAGCACTGGGTCTCTACAGCACTGTTTTTCCAACAGACAATCCTCTTTCATATCAAACAGCAGCTGCTAGAGCCACGGGGCTGATAATGGCATAATTTGGCTTCCTTCTTGTCACCTGTGAAAATCAAAGTCCTTATTCTGCCTGTCTTACAATAGTGCACTGTGTTCTCTCCAGGTTACAGCCTCGCCCTGCTGGAATGTTACATACACAGTTTGCACTCTACTCCAAATTGCTCGTCATTATTCTGTCCAAACAACACAAGGCTATCTGCAACAACTGCTTAGTGTTTAGTGTAGTGCTTATGTCTCCCCTGATCAGAAATAACACTCTGCTGATTCACAGGTAACAAAAGATCCAAAGTGTTTCTGAAAATCACAAATGCAATTGTGTCCAATAAACCTAAGTCTCCCAATGAAGCATCCACTTGAAAGCAACAAAGCAAATGATGGAATGACTCCTTATCTTCTCCTCTTATGCTTTTGATGTCACCGAGGCCAGGTTCATTTGTCCTTCAGTTGAGAATTTGTTTTTCTCGTTTCAAGAAGAATTGTCCTGAGCATTAGTTTATAAAAGTATTTGAGCCACATAAGGAGAATGAGTGCTGGCAATTGCAGTCAACAGAGGCAGGTCATTAGATTCAATCCTGAAGATCGAAAGCAGAAAAAAAAAAAAGTACTTTAACACAATTATCTAGGAAGTCATTTTAATGTACCTTATCCAACATTTAAAACTAATGATAAGCTAAGATCTCCCAATGGACTCTGTCCACAGACGCCAAGGATATAGGCACAGAAAGGTGGGGAACACAAAGCTGTTCTCTCTGTGAGGGCCCAACAGGTGACTTTTCTTATTCTGTTTGACTCAGGTTTTTCCATTGTCCCTCACTCCTCCCGACAATCTTCCTGCAGGCAGACTGACTTGACACAATGATTCAAGTTAGTCTAGGAGAATTGTGATAAGTCATCACTCCGAATACCTTGGGTCTGTTCCTGAAGGCTGTGCCCCTCAGTTCCTCCCTGAGTGCTTGAGCCAGTCTCAAGGGATGGACATGGCTTTGGCTACACTCTTAAAGCAGAAGTGGAAGCCTGATAGTTGCTGGCAAAATGCTGCCAGGTGTTATGAGGAGAAAAAATTGGAATGTTCCAGTCTGTGGAACATGTCCTTAACTATTTCTTCTAAATTCTAAAAATTATGAATTTTTCTACAAGTATAGATGGATGGATATCTGCCAGAATGAGGAACTGTTAAAAAGTTCTAGAAATGGGGCTGGGAAGGTGGCTCAGTGGTAGAGTGCTTGCCTTGCATGCCTGAGGCCCTGGGTTCAATTCCTCAGCACCACATAAGCAAAAAGAAAAAAGCCGGAAGTGGTGCTGTGGCTCAAGTGGTAGAGTGCTAGCCTTGAGCTGAAGAGCTGAGGGACAGCGTCCAGGCCCAGAGTTCAGGCCCCGACCGGACCAAAAAAAAAGAAAAAAAAAGTTCTAGAAATACAATGTTCACATCTAGTGATGGGAAACTGGTGAGGCAGGATTACAGTATGCGGCTGCCATGAGCCAAACAAAACACAAGGGGGACACCAGCAAAATGTCTTGAAGGGGGAAAATATTTTTTAAATGCAACATGTGAAAAAAAAATAGTTATACCCTGAATATAAGAGTCTGTAAATGTAAATGCAAAGGCCTAAATTTTAAAAATTTTAAAAATTCTTTAACTAGCTGGCATGGGAGAATTTAAAGGTTGACATTTTTAATTCCGAATTGAGAAATAGTTACCATGGATAAAGCGAACAAGTACCCATAGACACAATGACTTTTTTGTTAGCTGCCTACTGATTAGGAAAACAAATCAGCATTTCTTCTAGAGAAGATGTTGTAAGTGCTCTCTGGAAGATGACATGGATTAGTAATATGAGCAAGTCTCCCTATCAAAGGGCTTACGTGGAAGCCCTTGGAGTTTGAGAGAAGTCCTGTTCCTCCTCTAGGAAGTAAGGTATGAACACAGGCTCCCCACTGACAGTTGTGGCTCTGGCATCTTATGGAGTTACTAGAAATGGACAGAGAGAATGGGTAAAATGTTCCCTTACAAGAATAAAAGCAGCAGGCAGAAAGCAAAAGTAGCCCCAACCCATGTCCTAAAATTGTTTCCAGGTGGGAATCCAGATGTCAGATGTTGGTCATTTGAGAGCTGTGGAGCTCATATCTGAGGGACCTTGAACACTGGGAAATACTGGGCCTGCAGATGTAGGATGGCACAGGCTAATGAGTTGAGGGACCAGACTAGAAAGGGGTAGTGATAGCCCTTCACAGAACTCACCCCAGCACAACACCCAATTCTTTCACATGTACTCTTGTGTGTCCCCGAAGATATTCAGAAAGCATTTTACTTTTAAGGTACATCTCTTGTAGTCTGTCTTCAAGATGCATGATGCACTGTGAAGGCAATGACATTCAGAATGAGGGCTATAATCAATCTGCCAATGTCATAAAAGTTATATCACCACTTTCAAGAACACTTTAAAAACTGTTGGGAATGGTGATACAGTACATGGGTGGTGGAGAAAGAAGGATCTTAAGTTTGGGACCAGGTGAAGCTACACAGTGAGTTCAAGGTCAGTCTGAGCTACACTGTGAAACCCTGCCTCAACAATTCAGTGGTAGGGCACTTGCTTATGACTTATGGTTCTGGGTTTAATCTTCAGTAACACACATACAAATAAAGAATTCTACAAGTGACCAAAAAATCCATCACTACTAAAACATGTTTTTGTAAAATGACAATTTTTTAAAATATAGTATCATGCCAGTGTTGTGTTGTTATTTTTCAAACTGGAGGACTTTTCTGCCCGGGTGGACTTGGCTATTCAAATCAAAATTTTTATAGGATTTACTGGTGTGAGCCAGTGGTTCCCAGCTCATGATAATGTTTTTAAAGTTTCTAAGTACAAAAATTTCCTACCTTTAAAAACCTTTCTAACAATTAATTTCAATGTTAAAAATCCTTTATTGATAATTTTTTTGTGTATATGTGCCAGGACTTAGGGCTTAAACTCAGGGTCTAGGCACTGTTCCTAAACTCTTTTTTGCTTAAGGCTAGCACTCTGCCCCAGGAGCCAAAGCTCCACTTCTGACATTTTTGGTAGTTAGAGATAAGAGACTCATGGATTTTCATGTCTGGGATGACCTCAAGCCAAGATCCTCAGATCTCAGCCTCCTGAGTAGCTAGAATTACAGGCATGCACCACTAACACCCAGTATTGACATAATTTTATGGCTAAATAATTGCTGAGAAGTAAATTTGTCATTATTTAATTGTTTTTGTTCTAATATTTTGTGAAGATTATATTTGATATGTTCTATTTCCATATCACAGTGTTTTGGCCCAGAGGAGAATAAGGTTGTTTGGAACTTCTTATTTTGCTTTCAAGAGCATACTTTAACTAGGTCTTCAATAACAATAAAGAGGCAATTATATTTCAGGACATCTTTACCCTTGGAAATGTGTCCAACTTCACTTTCTAGAGAACAGCAACCATCTGTGTCTTTCACCAGAGGCAAATGCTTTTGCATTTGGCAGGCAGAGTTATGCAAGCATCTCCAGTGAGACACCTGATTGCTTTGGCAAGGGCAATTCCATCATATGTAATTTTCTTCTAGACCATTAGGCCTGTTATTTTCAGGGTAAAAAAGATTAACAGATGCATTTGAAAATGTTGAAGTTGGCCATCTGCACTGATCAGTGACAAGGAAAAGTATCTGTTAGTGAGGCACTCTGTAAGAATACAGGCTTGAAATCTTAAGTGCATGTGTCAGGTGGATGAAACACAACTGCTAGTAAGTAACAGGCAAAGCCAGGAGGATTTCACCAGTTCTCATGGAAATTTCTTCCAAATTAACAGAGTTAAGTGGTTATGGGATCTATCTCTCTGTCGAGTTTCAGTTCTTTATAGAATAAAAGCACACAGTTTTGTTTCTTTTTTTTGTCAGTCGTGGGGTTTTGCACTCTGGGCCTGGGAGCTGTCCCTGAACCCTTCAGCTCAAGGCAAATGCTGTACCACTTGAGCCACAGTGCCACTTCCAGTTTTCTGGTGGTTAATTGGAGATAGTTTCATGGACTTTCCTGCCCAAGCTGGCTTCAATTGCAGTCCTCTCAGATCTCAACCTCCTGAGTAGCTAGGATTACAGGCATGAGCACTGGTGCCAGGCTCATGTTTTTAATAAGAGCATTATAAAATACTAAATAGAACATTAATATTATATTGAATCTTTTCTTATAAAACAGTTAATTTAGTGTCAATATTCCACATGAAAAGTACTTGGTGAGATGTGGAAAGAAAGAGTATTCGTGTCTGGAAATGTAAATAAATGTGAAATTTAAAGTAGTTAGACTTTTTTAAAAGCTTAATATTCAAATAAAACTATTATTTCCCTTTCTTTTTGCTGGGATTTTGTTCCTAAGACAGATTTGTTCAACTTTTAACTTCTAAAACTTTAAATAGCTTTTCTCTTTTCATCTGAAGGCCCTAATCATATACGTTTTATTCAAGTAATATTTAAGAAATAAAACTGCAGATAAAATTTTCTTTGATGTTGGTTTAATGAGGCATTCATTTTATTTGGTGGTTAAACTTAATTCTATTCAAATGAAGTAAAAAGAATTAGTAAGTTATAGCTTTGATAACTAACATGTGAAATGCAATAGGAGCTATGTAGTTCAGAATGAAATATAAATGAAATATAAAACACTATGATGTTTAATATATCCTCCTTCCCTTACAGAAGAGGCCATGTGCACCTAACCCAATCTGCTACTAGAAGAAAGCTGCTTATAGGTGGAGAATGGAAAACAAGGTCACAACAACCCATGAATGCTTTTCCATTACCCCTGGACAGACATCATATAAGAATATTCTTCAGTTTAAATCCCAAATAAATATTTTTGTGAAAAGATGTTTCTGGCTTTTACAATTATCAATACTGTTTAATTAACCAACATACCATACCAATAATAGCTGTTTCCTGTGAGTTTATAACATCTGCCACTCTTCTAAGTGCTTTGCATAAATTACCTAATTGTCTCATCTTTATAAGCATATGAGACATGTTCTATTATCTCTCCAGATTTGCAGATAAGCACACTGAGGCTTTAAGAGGTTATGCGGTTAGCAGTAAACCTTGAGTTAAACTCTAAAGCCTGTGTTCTGGCTGGCTCCTAATGTATATGTATTGGCTTTTAAAGTATCCTGCATTTGTACTGTGCTTTGACAGCTTGAAAAAGCAGTATTTGATCACTAATTTCAGAGAAATTTTACAACACATGTATTGTGCCACTTTCATTTTAAAACAAGAAATCTGAGTTTCAGAGACACTCAGGACTGTCCATCATCAAACAAGTAAATCACCAGTAAACTCAAGCCTAATCCAGTGGTGCTCTGAAGTCCTCCTGCCCTGCCACACTGACACTGGTTTTACAACAACCATCATTTCAGAGCTAACAAAGTCTTGATTATTTCTGAGGAATGTAGTATAACTAGATTCCATCAGAAGAACTCAAGAAAAATGACCATTGGATTGGTAATTAGAGTATTAATATTTAGCTTCCTACTTTTCTGGTCAGTAGCTCTAATTTAATGTTTTGCAAGGCCAGCAGGGAAAGAGGTTTTGGTTTGTGACTATGCTACAAAAAAAAAAAAAAAACTCTGCACAGAAGGGAAGAAAGACTAATTAGCAGACTCTTCCAGCTCAAGGAGGATTTTCCTAGTTTTATCCCTCCCTTTCTGAATATAGTTCCTCTTTCAATCTCTCTTTGTCAGCACACAGAGAGAGAGAGGGAGGGAGGGGGAGGGGTGAAGAAGGGAGAGAGACAGAGTAATTTGTTATGTATATTAAGGCCACTAACTTGGGGAGAGCTATCAACAATTTTTCTAGGGCTTTCTAGGCTTGTATTTGTATTTTAAATGATATGAAAGTGATTTGAAAAGTCTAGCTGAAAATTAACAATTGATACCAACTTATAAGTACTTACATAATACATCTTATCCAGCACTTTCACATTTCAAAGTGTTTCTACAAACCATATCTATTTTATATTTAATGTTTTTGTGAGGACAGTCACTGAACACAAAACAACAATCCCTTCAGAAACAAGGTGTGCCTAATTAATCCACTCACAAAGGGAGAACTAAGGAATTTTCCAATGGAGGATTTAAAATTTTCTTTTATGCTCGACCCCCCTCCTTATCCCTTATTCATTCTACCATCTTCCTTGTTCAAAAGATTTCAGTGCTCAAGTTCTTGAAGGAGGGCCATTAATACTGAGATCCTTAGTGTTTGCTGTTTATATGTTGCATGTTCCACTTTTACTGAATGCTAACCTCCAATTATATTAAAACTAGTGTGTCTGAACTTAAGACTTTAGTCAAAGTGTTCCAAGAGTATTTTATTAGCTGTATTTCTTTGATGATGTGAGAGCCAATACTTACAAAATCAGCAGAGAGATGAAGCTTGTATAGCTGTAAAACGGACTGAAGTAAACTGGACACCTGACTAGAAACCAAGACCTCTTGGCCCAGCTTCATGTTGTCTATCACTTTCCTCTGACTCGTGGCCACTTGGACGCTCCACTTGTCCGTATCTGCAATAATGCAGACAGCCTCAGCTACTGGCTCATCCAGCACTGGATGCTGAAAGGGAAATGCAGCAGGTTGACTTTCTTCACACCAGTGATACTCAGAATGATTTTGGCCAATGATTTGGAAGCTGACAGTGAAAGAAAGCTTACAGATGCAATGCATCAGGGGACTCACATAGGAACATTATAAAATTATTTCTTAAATTAATTCAATAAAATTGCATTTAATCATTATTTTCCTCTTATAACTAGGAAGTACACTGTGCAGTATTCTTAAATGTTCATATATAAGCAAGAAGACCTGTGTCGTCCTTATATCCCAGGATATTAAAATTCATCTCTTTAAATGACTGTCTTCTTTTAAAACAAGGAAAATCAAAATAAAGTACAGAATTGCCATTTCCCCAATAACCAGGTTAGCCAGGGTAACAACTATTATCTTTACAGTTATAGTTTTAATTAAGAAAAATTAACTTAGTAACTGTGCACTGCATCAATTATCTCTAATAACCAACTAAAAATGGCTGAGAGCTGATAAACATACTTAAAATACTCATAAATTGTACAATGGAGATAACATTGAAGTAAAGAGCCTTAAGAAACATAATTTCTTTCTTTCTTTTTTTTTTTGGGGTCCGGTCGTGGGGCCTGAACTCTGGGCCTGGGCACTGTCCCTCAGCTCTTCAGCTCAAGGCTAGTGCTCTACCACTTGAGCCACAGTGCCACTTCCGGCTTTTTTCTTTTTGCTTATGTGGTGCTGAGGAATCGAACCCAGGGCCTCGAGCATGCAAGGCAAGTGCTCTACCACTGAGCCACCTTCCCAGCCCAACAAACATAATTTCTTAAAACTGATTATAGCATAATGGCTTCACCAGCAATGCCTTCTGGTACCTATCTTCTAGTACTGTGTGTGTGTGTGTGTGTGTGTGTGTGTGTGTGTGTGTGTGTCCAAGTCCACATCATAGAAGGAAGGCCCTACAATGATCTTCTTCAGTAGTTCATGGTTCCTGAATCTGGTCTAGAGATTCCACAGCCAAGCCTAATTCTTTGGCTCTGCACTTATCAAGTCTATGAATTTCTAATATCCTATCAACAAAGTCTCATCTGCTTAAGCTAATAAGGTCTGGTTTTTGCTAATTACAACAAAGAAAAAGATATAACCCTTTTGGGCCATGGTTACCTACAAGTAGTGGGAAGACTGCAAATACCTATCAAAGATGCACTGTCGTTCTGTAATTTTAAGAGATGGGACTCTCAGGTCCTGGATTCTTTTAATAAACGGGGAGCAGCTTTGTGTTTCTTCTCACAATTGAGGAAGGAACTGCTGAGCTGAATAAAAACTGGTAGAACCTATATTTTTCCTACAGTATATTCAAAGAGAAAATATTCAGGGTTTATATTTTTACCATTGAAAGGAAAACTAATCAGGCAAATCTACTTAAACATTTTATTCAAATAACGCATTTGATAAAATGTATTTTTGAATTGATGAGGCCTGAATTCCCAAGACACTTCATCATATAGGCTAGTTAACTACAGCATGTTCTTACCCATGATCTTCTTACCTCACGCTTCTCAAACATGCAAATTAATATCCATTCTCCAAAATAGAGCTAAAGACACAGAACCTCAGTTGGGAAGGTAGCTCTGAGGGAGAATACTTGCCTACAAAGCATGAGGCCCTGACTCCATTCTCAGACACACACACACACACACACACACTCATTGACTTCCCTAAAATCAGGTGTCATAAATTCACAACACAGCAAGATGGCAATGATTTACCATCAATATTATGCTTTCTCTTTGAAAATGAAGATATGGAAATGCAAATATTTATATTTGGAACTCAAGTCCCTTCATTGCTTGGGTTGTCAAAATTCAGTGTGATGGTAATACTGTCATTATCAGACACAGGCCAACATATACAATCAGATAAACATGTGTTGGTCACTTTCCATGGTAAGATATAGCTTTAAAAAATTGATTTTTACTTCTCATTGTTGCAACAAGCTTTACAACGTTGGTGGGGGGGAGGGGGAGGCGGATTAGGTAGGGGGAGCTGGGAAGGGATGTGAAGGGTAAACAAAGGAGGAGGCTGCAATGCTTGATAAGAAATGTACGCATTATCCTGCCCATGTAATTGTAACCCCTCTGTACAGTATGTTCACAAAAAAAAATTAAATTAAAATTTAAAAAAAAGTTATTTCAACCAAAAAAAATTGATTTTTAGTAGATAATTAAGGCCTGATTTTCCATCTGAGCTCTTCTCCTATATGCCCACATCACTGAAGAGGTAGGGTGGGAAGTGTATGTCAATCCAATTACCCAATAGTCTACAGACTGTAATTTTATACAGCACCACCACCAACTCAGAGAGCTTTGTTTTCACTGGAAGGGCAGTAGTCTGGCAAGGGAGCATTAGTTATATCAGAAGGATGTAGTTCTAGATAAACAGCAGAGAAGGTGGCTAAACGATATGAAGGTAGCTACTTAGTAAAAAAAAATCTAACCTAAAGATTAGATGGAGCCAGGTCTGGTGGCTCATGCCTGTAATCCTAACTACTCAGGAGTCTGAGATCTGAGGATCATGGCTCAAAGCCAGCCCAGGCAGGAAAGTCCGTGATACTCTTATCTCCAGTTAATAACCAGAAAACTAGAAATGGCACTGTGGCTCAAGTGGTAGAACATTAGCCTTGAGCCCAACAACTGATGACAAAAAATTAAAAAAAAAATAGGTGGTCATAGGGCTATGGGATCATGTCTAGGTCTTCAATTCTTTTCCACTGGCCCTCAGGCTGTTTATGTGCCAGTACCAAGCTGTTTTTATAATTGCAGCATTATAATAGAGTTTGAAGTTTGGTATTGATATTCTTCCAGTACTATTTCTCCTGCTTAAGGATTGCTTTTGTCATTAGGGGTGTTCTAAAATTCCATATCAATTTTTGGATTGTTTCTTCTATTTCATTGAAGAATGTTGTTGGGATATTGATGGGTATTGCATTGAATTTGTAGATTGCCTTTGGCAGTATTGCCATTTTCACTGTTAATCCTCTCAATCCAGGAGCAAGGGAGGTTTATCCACATCCTTAATTTTGCTTTTTCATGTTTTTAAAGTTGTCATCATAAAGGTCCTTTACTTGTTTGGTGATTTTTTTTTTTGAGGCTATTACAAATGGAGTTGCTTTTCTGATTTTACCCTTCTCATTTTTGGCATATAGAAAAGTTACTGATTTTTGTGGATTAATTTTATACCCTGCTACTTTGTCAAAGTTTTGGATCAGCTCAAGTAACTTGGGAGAGGGGTCTATGGGGTCCTTTAAATACAGGTTCATATCATTGTCAAAGAGGGAGTGTTTTACTTCTTTCCCTATTTGGGACACTTTGTCTCGTCTTATTTCCCTGGCTAGGATTCCAATACTATATTGAAGAGGAGTGGAGAGAGAGGACATCCTTGTCTCATTCGATTTTAGAGAAATATTTTTTAACTTTTCACCATTAAGTATAATGTTAGCTATGGGTTTGTCATATACAGCTTTTATTATATTGAGGAATGTTCCACAGATTCCTAGTTTCTTCAGAGCCTTAATCATAAAGTGGTGTTGGATCTTATCAAATACTTTCTCTGCATCTATTGAGATGATCATGTGGTTCTTATCCTTGCTCCTATTGAAGTGTTGAATTACATCAATTGACTTGTGTATATTGAATCAGTTTTGCATCCCTGGAATGAATCCCATTTGGTCATAGTGAACAAATTTTTTGATTAGCTGTTGAAGTCATTTGGCCAGAATTTTATTGAGAAGCTTTGCATCGATGTTCATTAAAGGAATGGGTCTATAGTTATTTTTCATTGTTGGGTCCCTATCTGGTTTTGGGATGAGGGTTATGCTGGCCTCAAAGAACAAGTTTAGTAGGGATCTTTCACTTTCAATTGCATTGAAGAGTTTGAAGAGTATTGGAGTTCTCCTTTGAAAGTCTTTCACAATTCGGCTGTGAATCTGTCTGGTCCTGTGCTTTTCTTGGGTCGGAGGACTTTGATTGCCATTTCTATTTCAAAACTTGATATCGGTCTATTTAGTTGGCTTAGATCTTGGTTTAGTTTGGGTATCTAAATATTTGCTAGAAATTCTTCCGATTCTCAAATTTGTTAGCACAAAGGTTTGCAAAGTATTCTGAATCTTGCTTGTTTCTGTTATGTTCCCAATCTCGTCTCTCCCTCTCCCACTTCTTTTGGTCAGATTTGCTAAAAGTCTGTCAATTTTGTTAATTTTTTCAAAGAACTAATTCTTTGTTTTGCTGATCTTTATGTTTTTTTTGGACTCTAATTCATTTAATTCTGATTTAATTTTAATTATCTATAACCATCTTGGATTGTTGGTGATTTTCAAGGAGCTTAAGGTGCATCATTAAATTGTTGGTTTGTGATTTCTCCAATTTGGTGATGTAGGAACTCAGAGATATAAATTTTCCTCTGAGTACTGCCTTTGCTGTGTTCCAGAGGAGTTAGTATTTTTGTATGTTCATTTTTGTTAAATATTATGAATGTTTGAATTTCCTTTCTGATCTCTTCAATGAACCGCTGACTACTCAACAATGTGTTGTTCAGTCTCTGTACGTTACAAAATTTTCTATAGTGGCTCTTGGTGTTGAGCTCGAATTTTATTTCACTGTGGTCTGAGAGAAGGCAGGGAATAATTTCAATATACTTGAATTTGCTTAGATTTGCTCTGTGACCTAAAATGTGGTCTATTTTGGAAAATGTTCCATGTGCTGCTGAGAAGAACGTATATTCTGACGCTGCTGGATGAAATAGTCTGCAAATGTCTGTTAAGTCTAGTTTGGCTATATAATTGTTTAGTTCAGGGGTTTATCGGTTGAGTTTTTGCCAGGTTGATCTATCCAGTAGTGACAGTGGTGTGTTAAAGTCACCAACAATCAATATGTTTGGATCTATGTACAGTTTTAGGGTAAGTAGTGTTTGTTTGATGAATTTGGGTGCTCTGGCATTTGGTGCATATATATTTCATTAATAAGTGGACTGAAGAATTA